CGAGTTCTCTAATTTCAACGGTATACTACGTTGAAGACCAGACAGTTCCTAGATCTTGATGAATATGTTTCCCTACGTCATAGTGTGGACGAGTTCTCTAATTTCAACGGTATACTACGTTGAAGACCAGACATTTCCTAGATCTTGATGTTTTCCTCCGTCATAGTGTGGACGAGTTCTGTAATTTCAACGGTATACTACGTTGAAGACCAGACAATTCCTAGATCTTGATGAAGATGTTTCCCTACGTCATAGTGTGGACGAGTTCTCTAATTTCAACGGTATACTACGTTGAAGACCAGACAGTTCCTAGATCTTGATGTTTTCCTCCGTCATAGTGTGGACGAGTTTTGTAATTTCAACAGTATATTACGTTGAAGACCAGACAGTTTCTAGATCTTGATGAAGATGTTTCCCTACGTCATAGTGTGGACGAGTTCTCTAATTTCAACGGTATACTACGTTGAAGACCAGACAGTTCCTAAATCTTGATGTTTTCCTCTGTCATAGTGTGGACGAGTTCTCTAATTTCAACGGTATACTACGTTGAAGACCAGACAGTTCCTAGATCTTGATGAAGATGTTTCCCTACGTCATAGTGTGGACGAGTTCTCTAATTTCAACAGTATACTACGTTGAAGACCAGACAGTTCCTAGATCTTGATGTTTTCCTCCGTCATAGTGTGGACGAGTTCTCTAATTTCAATGGTATACTACGTTGAAGACCAGACAGTTCCTAGATCTTGATGAAGATGTTTCCCTACGTCATAGTGTGGACGAGTTCTCTAATTTCAACGGTATACTACGTTGAAGACCATATAGTTCCTAGATCTTGATGTTTTCCTCCGTCATAGTGTGGACGAGTTCTCTAATTTCAACGGTATACTACGTTGAAGACCATACAGTTCCTAGATCTTGATGAAGATGTTTTCCTCCGTCATAGTGTGGACGAGTTCTCTAATTTAAACGGTATACTACGTTGAAGACCATACAGTTCCTAGATCTTGATATTTTCCTCCGTCATAGTGTGGACGAGTTCTCTAATTTCAACGGTATACTATGTTGAAGACCAGACAGTTCCTAGATCTTGAATAAGATGTTTCCCTACGTCATAGTGTGGACGAGTTCTCTAATTTCAACGGTATACTACGTTGAAGACCAGACAGGTCCTAGATCTTGATGTTTTCGTCCGTCATAGTGTGGACGAGTTCTCTAATTTCAACGGTATACTACGTTGAAGACCACACATTTCCTAGATCTTGATGAAGATGTTTCCCTACGTCATAGTGTGGACGAGTTCTCTAATTTCAACGGTATACTAGGTTGAAGACAGTTCCTCAGGTTTAAGAAGATTGAACAGGGGTAACTGTTGTACCCCAAAATTTTCGCTCTCATATTCCTCAAGACATGTCAAGAAGAATCCCCAAGTGGCTCAAGATTGCCCAAGAGTTGGACAGTCAAATCGTCTCCTAAGGCAGTCAACCTCAAATTAGGGTTTTGTGTTGCATCAAGGTCCTTGCATCCAAATGGCCTCAAGTTCTCCCCAATGTCTTAATATGTTCTCAAGTTCATCCATGTCAAATTTCAAGCCTTGCAGAGGAAGTTTGGTCAGTCAATTGCTCAAGAGGCCCAAAAATCAACTATGCTAGGGCAAACGTCAACTGTGACCTACAAATAGTCAAACCTCAAAATTTTTTGTCAACATTCTCATTTTGAAGGATAATTCATCATTTTATCAAGGGTTGATCATGATTCATCAAGGATTGCTCAAGATTCATCAAGATTCAAACGTTGCTAAATTAGGGTTTTGTAGGAAAAGTCAACTCAACTTTGACCAAGCATAACTTTCTCATACTTTATGAAAAATGACCCATCCAAATCTCATTTTGAAGAGGATGCAATTTCCTACAATCCATATTCACACTCCAAGATCAAGAAATACACTCACAAGAAGTTACAGATTTGGACATTATAGGTCATTTTGGAAAGTTAACAAAAACACTTTTTTTGCCAAAGCTTATAACTTGAGCATGGATTATCAAAATGAGATGAGACCAAAAGGGTTGGTTATAGGACATCTCAAGGTTTCTAAAAAGTCCAAGAACACCTCCAAAAGATAAAAATTGAAGAAGTTATGCATTGTTGAAGTTTGGCATTTTTCCAAAATTGCCAAAAGTCAACTATCCCCAAAACTTCAAATTTTGTCAAAAGGGCCCACTTTTTTCCACTTGATTTGATCTTGTCTCACTACACACGTGTCTTATCTTCAGTTTTATGTCCATTCATTAATGTTTCTATTTTATTTGATTTTCATTGAATTAATTCATTTTAAATCAATTTAAATCCAAATAAAATCCAAATCTTAATCACTTGGTATCTTTTTGATCATTACAGGTCTTAAATATCATCATGTACACAATCAAATACGAATCAAGCCATGTTGTGAACAAAATATTGGTTTTTGACAAATTTGGAAGCTTTTTCAATGGAGAATAAAATCAAATCTTGAATCATCAATGCTCATGGATTCAAAGCCCAATTTTTAACCTAATACATTGCTTGATACTTATACAACACAAGGAAACGATATTCAGAACCTGGAGGCTGCTAATTCACAAGAACAAAAACTTGAAAAAAGCTTGAAAAAGTTGGAAACTAAAATCTTGGTTAGAGGCCGATTCAAAGAAAAACCTCCACGCTATCTTCTTGCTGGACATCCATTGAGGCTAAAGCAATCAGAATCAAGCCTTTTCCCTCCCTAAATCGCACTGTAAGTCCTTTGAAAAACACCCCTGTACAAGAAATCGTGTTCTCTTATTCTTGCACTCTTTTGCCAAAATCTTTGCATATTTGTGTTTATCGTTCCATTTAGAACATTTCTGCATCATTCAATTATGTTTTCATAAGCCATAGCTCTATACCCGAACCTAGGGTTTTGGAGACTTGTATTTGGGCGTTTGTTTTACAGGAAAAATCAGGACCAATAATGGACATGGATGAATTTAGGAGAAAGAGACGAGCCTAATGATGGTCTGGGCTTGCATTTTTATGGCCTAGAATTCGTTGTAGGATAAAGCCACTAATTTAGCTACGGATGAAATCCGCAGGTAAATAACCAGGCTTTTCAATAAAGAAGACGACCACGTGCCTCCTCCTCATTGGATCGTTCATAACTTCACGCTCATTTTTTTTATTTCCAGCATACTGTTTGTTTTCTCCATATAATAATCATTGTTTATTTCATTAACAATTAAACATAATGGATCAGTTGGTAAAGGCGCTAGTGGAAAATCCAATGGGACCTGGGTTCGAATCCCAGGTCCCCCAATGCATTTGTTTCATTTTTTCTTCAGGTCATCCTATGCAACATCCAAGGCGTGGTCTATCATACACCTCCAGATCTCCAGCGCCAGATGGCCTCTAGGCCAGATCTGGTGGCCCAGATGAGAAGTCCATCCTACACCCTAGTCAACGTGCCATGGAGAATTGCAAAGGTCAACCAGGCTTCCAGCGTGAATGGCCCCAAAATGCTGATTTCACCTCCTCTTGGGCCCAACACCCCCCTTGGTTTATTTTTCTTTTCATTATATTTATTTATTTGTTTTATTGTTATTATTTATTATTAATCACTAACCAATTAATAATTTTTCCTCGTAAAATAAGAAAACACAAAAAATATATTTTATTTATTACAATTAAATTCATCACTCACTAGTGCAGAAATGACTTTTTACATCGGGTGAAACTGACTTTTTATATCGGTTCTGAGTCCGATGTAAAGTCAGACGATATAGTAAATCAGGTACTTTTTACATCGGTTTTGAGTCCGATGTAAAAAGTCTCTTTTTTACATCGGTTTTGATCTAAGACTGATGTAAAAAACAATTATAACAATATTTTAAAAAAATTGACGCAACTTTTTACATCGGTTAAACGTGTGGACCGATGTAAAAAGTCCCTTTTTTACATCGGTTGTGATCTAAGACTGATGTAAAAAAAAATTATAACAATATTTTAAAAAAATTGATGCAACTTTTTACATCCGTTAAACATGTGGACCGATGTAAAAAGTCCCTTTTTTACATCGGTTGTGATCTAAGACTGATGTAAAAAACAATTATCACTCACCCCTGCACCCGTACCAACGCTTGCATACACCGCATTGTCATTTGAGCCTGCTTCCGCACATTGTGTCCCCTCACTAATGCTTGCATCCTCACTAACCCCTTTAACGCGCGCAAAGGACGTCGAGCCTATTTAGAAATCATACAATAACAAATAAACTCAGTACATAAAGCATTTCTAGCATTGTTATTAATATCATCAGTCCATAAAGTCAAAGAAAAACACAACCAATTGACAGGTAAACAGAAATTATAAGTATTCAATGAGAAATAATTAACTTTCATGGAACTTGTATTCAAAAGGACCCATTTTCCTTTATTAGCCCATACTCTCCCTATTTAGCCTTAGAATTGAAATAGTACAAAACTTTTCACACAAGTCCATATACATATACATATAAATATACATATAACATGTGTATTTTTGCTTTCTAGTAAAGACTTTTATGAGAATATAGGTTGCTTGGTAAATACTTGACTTCAAATATAATCAACATAAAAAGTCTAAAATATGGACAGGTACCAATAGTGTTGCAAGTTTATTGGCTACAAATTTAGAGTATATAATAATTTTAATGATTTCGTCATAAAATAATTATAATGATATGATTATGATATAATGTAGAGTGTGCTATTATTAAAGACATAATGTACAAGTTTGGTGATAGGTGCTAAATTAATGAGCCATAATAAACTAGTTACTTCAAAAATATAAACTTGTGATCTTAAGTTTTAAACGATATTTCAACCACCTCGAAAGCAAAAACAAAAATGAATAAGTGTTTATAGCATAAAAGTACTTATGTATAATTTGAAATAATCCAAACATGTCCTTGATATAAGACGAAGTCTTACTAGGTATCCTCTGTAGTGTGATTAAATGAATGTTGTTGCTCTCTCTTCCTTGTTATAGCGTCCATAACCGGCCAATCGTACAACTCTACCAGCTGCTTGAGCAGCTGCAACAGCAGCAGCAGAAGCTGCTGCAGTGGCTTCTGCAACAGCAATTGCGTGAGTTCTATCGTCTCGTGTAGGAGTTGGTGTTGTACTCTCCTCATTGGTTACATCATCGGGCGAACTCTCAGCAGGAAAATGCTCAAATGACACCTCCTCTGCCACTTCATTCCCCAATTTCTCTCGATTTTCCTTCTAAAAAATATAATAAAAATTAACAATTTGGACCGCGCTTTGACATAAGACCTTGATTATGACGATCTAATATAGTGAAATTAAGTTTATTGAACAATGTCACGAGTTAGGTGGTTGTATGAAAACTATGTGACACACAAACACGAACAAGAAAATTTGTTTGAATTATGTGTTGATATTTGGGGACCATGTACAACAATACAACATAATTACATGCTGAATTTTGAATTAATGGTCCTAAGATAAACAGAGAAAGAGCCAGAAGGCAACTCATAAAAGAAAAACATTACAGCAAGCAACAAATTACATGTTGTTCACTTACTTTAAGGATGTTGTTTGTTTTAGCCTCTAATATGAACATGTTTGTCTTATAAAAACTCATAAATAAACATGCACGGAAATCTACAATAAACTAATAACTCGGGGCATCAAAAGATCAGGACACCACCTAAACGTGGAGTTCTGATCTCGTGATAGTCCTTGTCATTAGTCCATTGTTGTTTCTCGTGCTCAACGGATTCCTCAACATCTTACCATCTTAGATCATACTATAATAAAATGAAAATGAGAATAGATGACCTTTTTGTCTGGCTGCACCACAGTGGAGACAGGCACTGTCGTGTCTCTAGAAGATGAAGAAGACTTGAAAACTTTCTTGACAGAGGAAAACCAACTTCCTCCTTTTCTTCCCATCAGCAATTGAAGGATCTGTTTCTCATCACCATCATCAACATAAACATGTATTACAATAAAACCAATTCATCCATAACATAAAAAAAACTTATAAGAACAATTTGATTAAAGCTACTAATTAGTTACAATGAGAGTGAAGAAACCTGAAGAACTACCGTACCACAATTCTTTGCTGATTTAGACCACCTTCAGCGTGAATGAATATATAGCCATTTGTTGCATTTTCATGAGGAAGTTATGCATGGAAGTATAGAAATACTATCAGCATATATGAGATGATTGGGGAATATTACACTGAAAAGGAAATTTTGAAGAACAGTTTATAGAATATAGACATACAGAAGACCGGTATCAATCCGTGAAGACCATTCATAGGAGGGGGTAAAAGAAAGAAAGGGGCAATAAAAAAAGTTTAAGGGTCCATTCATTTCTATTAACTTAAAAAACATTGTCAGACATTCGTTCAAATATCTATCTTGAGGTACCAATCATAATTGTAGTTTGTCAATGCTACTGACAAATGATACTTATGAAGAATATGCTCTTAATTCTTATTAGTTTGTTTAATACTGTTTTGGCATGGTTTATTTGAAATGCAATGAGAAAGTAATTGCAGACACAAATTAGGGGCCAAGAAACCTGACATGGCACCATCCCTTCGCTCAGCACACGGCTTCCACGATGTTGTGGATGAGTAAGGATTTTCCCAAAGAGATGCTGATTCTTTGACCTACAAAAAATACCACACATGCTAAGTGAAATGTGTATGGGAAGAAAAACAACATCAAAACTATGATCCTTTTGATAACTTACATGTGGACAGTGAAGAACAATCCCATCTTTTTTACACAAGTAATGCAAGTTCTACAAAAGCACGAAAACAAAATCAAATTATTATCAGAACTTAAAGGAGATATAATTAAAGTAAGACATTATTGATTTCTTACAAATTCAATGCATAACTAGTGAAATCTAAGAATACGGAGAGTACTGACCAATTTATGGAGGATCGTGAATAAACCGAGCAAGCCAGCAAGAACTAGAAGTAACGTGAAGAACATCGAGATCCTGGAGTTGTGAAACGGAACCCTATGGTCATCGGTGAAGTAGGAGCAAAGGTGATGAAAATGCGAGCAGGGAGGACGGTCACGATCTTTAGGAGAGTGACGATCGTCATCGAAAAGATCGTTTTCGGGAATTAGCGGGGAAGAATCACCGGCGCCGGTGCTGTCGCGCTTCATCGGAGAAGAAGCGGTTCGGGAGCCGATTGAGGAGGAGTGACGAAGCTCCGCCATCGAGATGGAGCACTGTTTTTTGTTTCTCTCTGTATAATTAATAATTAATGTGATAATAGTATCAGTTTATTTAGTAAGAAGTAGGTACCTAACACGGAGACGAGTAATTTTTTCTTCTTGTTTTTCTAGGGATGTCCCATGCGAATTTCAGATCTACTTGATTTGCAATTCTTTACTTTTTGTTTGGATTGAGGTAGACGGAGACGTGAACGGTGAGGCGTGAGAGAGACGTGAACAGTGAAGCGATACGGCGGAACAACGGCGTATGCGTGAGAGAAGTTGAACAGTGAGGAAATAATGTGCATTTAGAAAATAATCTGCATTATATATATAACTTTTTACATCGGTGCAACCCACGGTCCGATGTAAGGGTTTGGGCGTTTGTCGTTTTTACATCGGTTTTAACATTGGACCGATGCAAGGTTTTGGGCTGATGTTTTTTACATCAGTTTACAAAAGGCCCGATGTAAGGGGTGTTTTTTACATCGGTTAAAAGTATGCCCCGATGTAAGGGTTTGGGCGTCTACTGTTTTTACATCGGTTTTCATTGTGCCCCGATGTAAGGTTTTTATTATATTTTATATATTACCAATCTCCCCGTGAACTTTTTACATCGGTTTTTAGTAAGCCCCGATGTAATATCTTGCCGGTTTTTTATTTACAATTCTGCCACCTTGTTTCTTATTTACAAAAATTCCACCGTGTTTTTTTCAGGAAACCTTTTACATCGGTGGATTACATGGCCCGATGTAATAGATAGCGAAAAATATTTTTTTTTTCATATTATTTATATCATTGCAAATAAATATCTGATGTAAAATGTTTTTAATTTTATTTTTTACATCATATATTTTGATACCTGATGTAAAAACCTTTTCTCAAATGTCATTTTTTTAGTAGTGACTTTTATTTTTTGTAAATAAATATTAATCAATTAATTTAGTTTTAATTAGACATAATTTTAATATTTTTGCAATAAATTAAAATCAATGTAGAATATTAGGTTTTTACTAACTTTTAATCAATTTATTTTATTTCCTTAAATATTCAAAAATTCAAAAATATTTTCATTAATTAATTAATTTAATTGTTAATTTAGATCTAGTTTCTTTTAATTAAAAAAAAATAACAAAAAATCTCTTTCTTTCAAAAAAGGGTCAAAACCCTAAAAAATGCGCCGATTTAATTTTCTCGCACGCGATCCATATTATCATATTGATGTAATTGTTTCCGGAATGTAATAGATAATTAGGACTTTATTTATCGCTTTATTTTACTTTCCGCATTTTAATTTCAAGGGTTTGTTTTTGGCGATGTAAATACCCGACGCCTTGTAATAGTTTAGATTTAATTTCCGCAATTTAAATTCCGCAACTATACACTGCTAGATGTTTGATAATAGGGAATGCATGACAAGATCAAATGTATGACTTAAAATCAACATAGTTCACCCATGACATGTACAAAGACAAAATAACTGAAAATAACACACTCGCACATGCGCACTCTTAGGGTACACCTCACTTGGTTGCCTTCAAACGTGGTCATTAAGTATAGGAAGTTTTAGAGGTCGTCCTCTTGTCCAAAGATCATAGTTGCCTCGACACGGTTGCCTCGGAAAAATGATCTAAGACATTAGGGTTACCACTAAGGCGTCCTAACATTGCTTTAGTGACCACACGTCCCTTAATCGAATTGACCCTTAAACTCCAACAACGATGCTACCTACTCATCAATAGTGGGATAGCATTGTCTAAAGGACATTTGTACAGATTAATTCCTTTTTTGAGTAGGTATATGGTTCAAAAGTACTTTCTCTCTCAAAATAAAATAAAACTTTTCGCACTTACACTCCTTTCAAACAAAAACTTCTTTCAAACCCACAAACAAAAGAATTTTTTGAAAACACTTTGAGCAAGTACCTAAGAGCCCGTGGATAACCACGGATAGAAAGGGTGCTAACACCTTCCTTTTCTATAATCTACCCCCCGGACCCGAGAAACATCTCGAAAAAGGAATTTTTTTGTGCTTTTTTCCTTTCCTTGTTGGATAAAATAAAAGACGGTGGCGACTCTTGCTTACCGCGACATTTTGCAAACATAAACGCAAAACGCGAACCAGCATTCCAAAACAGTTAGTTCTCTCCCACCGTATCACAGACTCACTCCGACAATTTCAACTAATTCCGGTTAACTAGTTTTACCGCCTAAATCTACAAATTCGACTAATCGGTAATATTTTATATACTATTATTACTACTATTTATTTATACTGTTACTAATCAATTTATTCTACTAAATTATTCTACCTCTGTTATTTAGCTTACTGCTATTATTAGTCTCCGCCAAAACTACTTGTTTGTTATCTACAACTTCTATTACTACAACTTCCTGCCAGTGACAAATATTAGTTATAAACCAAAACCAATTTCAACTTATTCCTCCTATTACTGAAATTCTCCATTATACTTTTTGTATGATAATTTGCAATTTATACATCTACTGATACTTCCTAACAATGCTCAGGTAAATTAGTCAATACACTATTATTTTTGCTACTCTTATATATACATCCGGCTATTTATTTGACTAAAGCATTACAATTTATTCCTGCAACTTCTTTAATCCAATCTGATACTAAATTATTTTAATAATTATATTAACTTATTAATAATATAAGATATGACATAGTCTTTCCACCACGCTTATATGTTCTTTCGAGTCTCATCTCAGGACAACAATTCAATAATAGCCATAACAACATCATAACAGAAATTCGATTTATATAAATTACAGAACAACTTCATAAACACATTATGGACATTCCCTGACAACTAAAATTGCAGGACTGTTAATCTTCACAGAATCACAATATAACCGAATCGACAACAATTCATGGTATAAATTTATACAACCCAACCCCACATAGGGTTTATCATATATCCAGTTATAGAGATTGAACTCCACCCTTATCGGGTTTAGATTGAAGGTAACTCTAAGGGTCTCCGATTGAATCTCCTCTTGGACGCTTGGTGTAAATTCCATGTATCCCTCTTCTTCTCCTCAAAACCCTTATTTTTCTATTCTCTACAACTTCTCTTGTACCAAAACCTTCCAAGATTTTTTTTCTCTCTAGATCAGAATAAAAGCTGCAAATTTTCCCAAATATGCAGTTACAATGCAATGATGATATCTCCCGACTCAGACCTTATTTTGAAGATCTCAGCAGTCAAAAGTTAGATGTAGGTGTTGCAAAACTACCTTCAAGATTTGAGCATGATCCAACGGTTAACGAATCGGGGATTGTCGATTTAGTGAGACTGCTGCAATAAAAACGGGAATGAGTTTCTCCCATCTATTCTCTCACTTTTTCTCAATTAACCTAATTCCTTTTATATCCACTTAATCTTGTAATTCTAGTAATTCTTAATGGGCCAATATCCACACTCCCATATTTACTACATGACATCACTTAAATAAGCCCAACAATTAATCTTATAATGCTCCAATATATTTAATATTATTAAACCACCATTTAATCAAATAATATCACAGAGCAACTTAACAATAATTCATAATATTGCTCAACTCCAACTAATAATTTTAGTTAAATAATTAATAAAATTATCGGGGCTTTACAAGCTACACCTTATATAAATTTTTCACGAGGCTACCATTGGAATCGTCTTGAAGAGACGAAGCGAATGGTACCGGTCTCGAGCTCTAATTTTACCATTTCAGAGACCTGCAAATCTCATGGCTGGAGGTTGAAGATGACCAACGTGTCATCTCTCAACCAATGATAGTGTGCGACGTTTTTTTTTCAAATTCTGATTTAATAAATGATTATGTGTGTTATTCACTAAAGACCATGATATACAGAGTGCGTCTGATCCATTAGATTAGCTTACTAACACGTTTTG